AAAGTAGGTGAGTCTTCAACTACCCATCCTCCTGGCATAGATGCACTCCTAACGGAGTTTGCCGATGTTCTGTCTGAACCAACCGGGGTCACTTCGCGTGCTATTAAGCACACGATCGAGATTGTGCCCGGTAGCATGGTTCCCAAGGGCCCTATGTATCGCATGTCTCCAAGGGAACTTGAGGAACTTAAGAAACAATTGTCTGAGTTGACGGAGAAGGGATGGATTCGCCCTAGCTCCTCTCCTTATGGTGCACCTGTCTTGTTTGTGCCCAAAAAGGAAGGTGAGTTGCGCCTTTGCATCGCCGACGATCTCGTTTGGGTCTCCGCCGCGGAATTCGGCCTTGAACAAGATATCTCTCGCAAGCTCCTCCCGAAATGGATGGGGCCTTGGCCGATTGTGGCACCCGCTGGGGATGCACCCGAGGGACCTTCCTTCACTATTCGGGTGCCCGCCCACTTGCCCGTCTACCGAGTCTTTCATTGCTCCAAGTTGGCTCTTTACACGCCAACGGAACATGACGATTTTCCCGGGAGACGTTCACAAGACCCACCCTCTATGGACGGTTTTCAGGAGGTCAGCGACATCATCTCCCAGCGACGCTACGGCAACAGGCCAACCGAGTACTTGGTACATTTTGCATCCTGCACACATCGAGTTGACCATTGGTTGACCCGTGCGGAACTTCAAGCAACAGCTCCAGACGTTCTCGCACGCTACGAATGCAAGATGCAAGGCAAGTCGGTCTCTTCGGCTCCACGCCGCGCCCGCGTCCAGGTTCCACCTTCAGATCGTCGGCTTCGCCCTCACCCCAGCTTGACTTCATAAGGAGGGGGGGGTGTTACATGCTGCGCTTGCACACGAGGGCCATTTTCCAGGCCCTACGTCCTTCAGGCTAAAAGCCTGAATTTCAGGCCTGAAGCCTTAAATTTAGGGCCTACAGGCCCCGTGTCTGTTCAGCTCGAAAAGCTGGAAACACGGGCGTACAGGCCCTGTGTCGTTTGAGACTAAAAATGGCATGAGCCTTTTTAGCCTGAAACCGAGGGCCATTTTCGGGCCCTCATCAAACCGACCTGCCCCGAAACTCAGGCACCAAACCAAGGTTTTAGGAATATGCTATTTTTGGCCTGTTCCCACGACAATTGCAGCGCCAACCCCTGGCTCAGTTCGGCATTGGCAAGAGCAGCCTCCTGGACTGCCCGCCCTGCAACTGCAGGCAGTCGGAGGCAGTCAGGAGGCAGGCCGAGATAGTACATAGGGACTTCCCGTGCACTTCACGGGCAGGCAGAAGGCAGGCAGTAGTCTTCAGGATTGGGCAGCTGCACTCTGGAGGAGCGCTGCAGGAGTAGTAGTAGCGTTAGCATTAGTCTTCAGCGTTGGGCGCTAGTAGCGTAGCTGTAGTCTTCAGCGTTGGGCGCCATAGCTAGGATAGTACTAGAGAGAGAGAGATTGGGCGGAGGCCAGGGGTACTTACCTGCAGCGCCGTTGCTCCAGCTTTGTCTTCGAGGTACCTGCAACACAGCGCCAACTTCACAGGTTAGTACCTGGCTCGTGAGAGAGAGACAGTTCTTCTTCTTCCCCTTCTCAGTCCACCTTCTCCCTCTCACCCTCTCATTACCTGACTTCAATGCATCAGCAGACTACGAGAGAAAGAGAGAGAGAGAGTTTGGTGACAATGGATCCAGACTCGACTTTTGGGCTTCAGACATTTCGACGAGGGATTATTTGGGACTTGTGACAAAGACTTGGTGTTGACGACATTCCCATCTCTCCCCCTCTTCTTCGTCTGATCCCCTCCTCTTCGTCTGTGTATGTATGGACCTGGCGCTTCCTTCCTATGTATAGCGCCAGGCTCCTTCACACCTTGTGATGAGCATGATGTATGTTTGGTCTGCGTTGAAACATTGATTGGGCTAGTCATTAGTATTCTAGCATTCTGCTTCGCTATCTTGTACTACGTGAAAGGGGGTCAGTCTCAGTCAGGTTAGGATTTGTATCTAAGTCTTCCCTGCACTGTTCAGCACCATTTTGTATGTATCGGAATGCACATTGCTTGTTGAGATTCTACTTGCACTGCATTGTCCATTCAGTCCTTTTTATCACATTGCGGATCCTCGGTTATTGTGTACATCGCTCGACTGGGCATGTAACATCCGGTGTCGAGTCTTGGCCAAGCACTGGAGCAGGAATTCGTTAACAACCAGGAGTACCAGTGGTGCCAGTAGCACCAATAACCAACAGTATTGGCAGAGCAAGTGGCGAACTGGGACACAACAAGACAAATGCCACA